GTTTTCTTCACATGCGGTAAAATACCGTATATGAATATTGTTCTCTATCGCATGACCTTTTGTTTCATTTCTTTTACTAAGATTCTGTTAAAGGAGAAAGACTTAGTTGTGTACAAATTTCTTATCCTTTGGATTTTTTTTTGTTTTAATGATACAATTTTTATTACTTTAGGCAACTTCAGTTCATTCATGCAGAAGGAGATTTTTGAGCAGCCAGAGTCAGTGGTGAACACAATGAGAGGAAGAGTCAACTTTGATGACTACACTGGTAATTACATAAGTTATTTTATTGCTTCAGAGTCTTCTGTGGGGGTTGGCATCGACAGCCTGCAAGTTCATTGTGCTTTACAGCCTTAGAACCACTCCACTGCAAGCCATCAGAGGAGTCCAGTCCTCTTTTAAAAATCCTTCAGTGTATGGTTCTACTGATACGAGGTGCATTGGGTTAGTGAGATTGATAGATCCAGAAAGTAGATGATGGGTTACCAAGGGCTGGGGAGAGGCGGGGAGTGGAGAGTCGGTGTTTAGTGGGTACAGAGTTTAAGCTTGGGATGATGAAAAAGTTCTGGGATGGATGGTGGGGATGGTTGCACAACCATGTGAATGCGCTTAATGCCACTGATTTGTACACTTAAAAATAGTTAAAATGCTGAATTTTATGTTATGTTTATTTTACCACAGTGAAAAATAAGGGAATAATAAGTAATGGTTGCCAGGAACTGAGGGGATGGGGGTAATGGAGAGTGTGTGACTGCTAATGGGTATGGAGTTTTTTGGGGAGTTAATGAAAATCTTCAATTTGATAGTGGTGATGGTTGCACAACTCTGAATGTACTAAACACCACTGATTGTACGCTTTAAAAGGGTGAATTTTATGGTCTGTGAATATTAATAAACTGGTTATGAAAAATATAAAAAATGACTGGAAAGTCACATTTGAAAGTTGTCAGTTATGGGAATATTAGGGTAATTTTCCTGGAAAAAAGCCCTTTAGTGTACCACTTAAAACATTTAACATCTTTTCAGTTCAAAAATCCTTTACTGGGTGCCTGCTGTGTACCAGGGACTGTCCTGAGAGCCGTGGATTCTCAGAGGAATGAGACCCGGTCCGCTTGCTGGCCAGCTTACTTGTATCTCTGCAGCCTAGCTTTTCTCTCCCAGTTTATAAATGAGTAAAGTGTGAACTTCCCAGAGGTTTTCCAGGTGTTGGCCTAAAGTCTTATGGAATAATCTGTCCCTTCCTGCATGTTTAAGGTAGGGGTGAGAGTGCAGCTCTGGTCTTACTCCTGGAAATTTTCGTTAGACCTTGTGTTGCAGGAGTTTTTGCACTTGCTGAGATGAGCTTGAGATTGACTGCCTGTGGTCATAGGACGTCCATAAACTGTTGATTGCTGAATGAGATTTTCACAACACTCCTGTTTCGTCATGACCAGTTAAATAAACAGTTCAGCAAACAAGCTTTGAGCTAAGCTTCTCAGTGTTAGGAATTAGTTTTTGATGTGAAATCTTTTCCTGAATCTGTGTTATTTAAACAATATTAAGTGCCTTTTCCTTTGTGCCATGTTCTGCTGGTAGAGAATAATTTCTCTGAATAAGTGCTGTTTTTGTGTACTTTTCTGAGTGGCAGCACACTCTTTCTCAGGAGGAGAGGTTTGTTGAAGGCTGAATCATGAATTGAACATCTGTGTGCGGAGAACCATGCAGAACGTATCAGGGACTGTGGGAAAGTTACCTCTGCTGTGGTCTCCTCCTTGAGGTTCTTTGAAGAGGAATGCATATATAATTAACTGTTTAAAGAAAGATAAACTATGATAAATGGCATTAGAAACACAGTTTAATGTTGAAATGTTTCAAGTTTAATGTTGAATTTAGAGAAAGTAGAGGGTGAATCTGTTTGTGGGCAGGGGCTTTGGGGGCCAGAGATGGTTCCGTGAAGTAGGCGAGTGTGGGTTTAAAGGCTTTGAACGATTTGAATAGGTGAAGATAAAGATGGGGGCATTGCAACTGGGTGGAACACATTTGCTAAGGGAAGATAGTGGAAAACCATCAGAAATTTATTTGTGGAATAACACGCAGTCCAGTTTGTCTGCCACATCTAGTACTTCAAAAGGAGTAGAGAGCAGTAAGTCTAGGAAAGAAGGTCGGAGGAACTACCAAGGAGAGCTTTGGATGCATTCTTTTGGGTATGAGGGGGACCTCCGTTTGTAGAAATTGCACAGCTATTAGGAGACTTAGGAGCCAGGGGTGATCATACCTTTACCAAGGTGACCTGGGTGCTGGTCTCCTGTATGCGCTGAAGGAGCAAGAGGCTGAGCTGCAGTTGCCAGTTAGGATGTTGTCCCGTCTGGGGTAAAGCAGTGGGAAGGGGAGGGAAACGGGGATCAGGGAAGAAACAGGAGCACTCTGCAGCAGGACCTGCATCTGCCTGGGCTGGGGAGAGGGGGTGTTGAAGACGGTTGAGCTGGAAGAACTGGGAGAGTAGCAGTAAATGGGACGGAAATAAGATTAGGAAAAAGGTTTGTTTTCTAAGGGAAGGGAATGAGATAAACTTTGAGAAGTCATGATTTTACAACTTTTATCTGTGGTATGTGTTCCTCATAAAAGTCCTGTAATATAAACAGGATAGCCGTTACCCTTTTTTCATTGTTAAGATAAGGAAATCAGACTCTGTCTGTATGAACGTCTTGCCAAAGGTCACGCTGCTAGTCCTTTTCAGAGCCAGACTAGCTCCCGTGTTCAGTGCTGTCCCGAGAGTGCTGCAGCCCGCCCCTGTCCTCCAGGCACTCCGGCTGCTGCCGTCAGTACCAGCCTAGCTTCTCAGAAGTAGGCTTCTCTCGAAAGCATCTGTTCAGACCATGGGTGACTCCTTCCAGAGCTGTCCCAGACGCCCCTCAGCCAGCACGCAGTTTGCTTGGACCAGTGTTAGGGAAACACTTGTGACTGTCTGATCTCAGCATCTTGCCTCCTGTCATTCTTGGTCATCATTTGAAACACAAGTCCCTCTGATCGTCCGACTGCTTTATACTTAGTCATCTCCAAACCGGTTTGCCTTCGCATGACTCCCCCCTCTCCCTTGTGGTTTCCTTTCTTCCCACATCTTTTCAACCCATGCTGAGGCCCGTGGGAAAACACTGTAGGCAGAGGTACATGAAAAGGAGCAGCCAGAGGGCCAGGCCAGTCTGGCTGCAGTGGCCTGGGTGAGAGGGGTCGTGCCGGGAGATGCGGTCAGAGCGGAGCAGGAGACAGGGCGTGTGGCCACTCAAAGGCCATAGTGAGGAGTTTGGACTTCATTTCAGTTATTTGGGAAGCTGGTGAAGCTTTTCATGTTTTATTTTCCATTTTACTAATTTCTTAAAATAGAGAAATATCACAATACCCTCTCAGTATTGAAATTTAAAAGGAAAAGCATAAAAATTACTCAAAAATATAAAAGCAAGTCATAGAGCTTGGTTCCATATTATCACTGGTTCAGGTAGGAAAGAGTCGGGGAGGTGAAGAGTGGGGGCAGAGCAGACGGACGGACGGACAACGTGTCGGACGCAGGAAGATGCTGCCTCGGGTGTCCGTCAGCTGTGCGCTGAGCTGTCTGGTGGCTGCGCTGCCTGGGGCAGTATAATCACTTGGCAGGTGCTCAGAGTGTTAGTTGACTAATTGAATGACTGTTGGATGAAAGTTTCTCACAGGTAGGAAACTAGCCTTGTATAGCAGGGTCTGCGGACAAGGCACCGGAGAAGAACGCATACGTGGCTGTAGAGACAGAAAAAGAAAGCGGACAGACCCGTTAGAGGGTTTTGAGGTCAGAGTTGTGTTTTTAAAGAATCCCTCTAGAAAGTTATTCTGGCTGTGTGTGGAGAACAGGCTCCCGGAGGAGGAGAGCAGAGTCGGGAGAACGTGGCTGTCGTCCGGGGAGGGCTGCCGGCTCGGGTGGTGACGTTAGAGGTGCAGCCTGGCGGGGGGCTCACGGGACTTGCTCGCGCCCTGGTCGTGGAGCAGTCGCGGGACGTTGATGAATGCGGGTGGCGTTTGCTGAGACAGGAAAGACTGAGAGGAGAGTGGTTTGTATCGTGGTCGGAGTGCTGTTCTGGGTTCATAATGAAAATGGACATAACTAAAATGATTTTTTTTACCCAGGCAGACTTAACGGAGATATAATTAGATTTAATAAAACTGACCATTCTTAGTGCACAATTCAGTGAGTCTGGGCAAACTTCCGCAACATGGTCATAATCCTGAATAACCTGCAGTCCAGACCCAGCACAGGTCCTTCACGCTAGGGATCTCCTCATGCCCCTTTGTAGTCAGCCCTTTCCCCACATCCGCCAGCAGCATCTGCTGGTCTACCGTCTGTGTCCCTATAGTTTTGCCTTTAAGATAACTTTTAATCTAAAGGGAATGTGAAAACTACCAAACAAGGTAGAGTGTGGTAAGTACTGTAGTTGTGTGGGCATGCTGAGGGGAGTGGGGAGGAAGGTTAATTACAAGTTTGGGGTGGACAGTTATGTTGTGAGTTAATTTAATTTACTTTTCAAAACTAGAGAGAACTATGCTTCTTAAGAGGAATATGAATTCTTTAAAAAAGCCGTGTTGTTACCCAGATTGGCAGTGGACGTGCGTGAAAGTGATTGCCTACTTCATGTGGTTCTTTCCTAAATAGTTACAGACACACACTTTTATTTCAGTGAATTTGGGCGGTTTGAAGGATCACATTAAGGAGATCCAGAGGTGTCGGCGTTTGATTCTTATTGCTTGTGGAACAAGTTACCATGCTGGTGTAGCAGTAAGTGGCTTCTTAAAATTTTAATTGTGTTATGTTGGGTATTAGAAGATCTCTGCAGACCAGTGGTATCTCAGCAACACACCATGTAAAACTGTTTTGTTAAAACATCCTGTTTTCTTTTCATATAGTGATGACAAAAATCAAGACGATGTGGGGGAGAAATTTTAATAGCTACTTGGAATTATTTATCAATGGGTGATCCGCTTTAGAAGGACCTTTAGATATGCAGGTAGAGCACTGCAGCTGACTTCATGAAAGGCTAAGACTGGACAGTTGTGCGATCCCAGCCTGGTGGTCCCGAGCGCACGGCTGCTTCTGATGGAGCGGTCACGGGGCTTTGTGGATCGTTGTTCACTTGCCCCAGACAAATGGCTGCGTGAACCTCAACAGGATTTTACTTGGTGGGCACATTTGTTCTTTAAATTGTTTTTTGGAAGCTGAAATTCTGTATCAAAGACATACATTGATTGTCAGTATAGACGCATAGGAAGATGACAGTCTTTATTCCAGTAACTCAGAAGCACATCTGGTTTCCTTGCAAGAGACAGGTTGTGGGCTGTTGATGTCAACTTCTGTAAGTACAGAAGACCTGGACACACTCGGTTTTTACTTTAAGGATTGATTTCCAAAGTTCATGAAAGTCATTTTTTTTTATTTGCTGGGGCATAAATATTAATTATCTACCGTTGTGGGAGCCATTCATTTGCCTGGTTGAGTGAAACCAGCTGGTCACCCAGCACTTGCTTCTCCATAGGCTTTGTTCCCCCTTTTCCTTCCCCTGCACCCACCTCGCCCCCAATCACATGACCCTAAAAAGGAAAGTTTGTGCAGTTTTGAAGGGAAGAGTTGTAAGAAAGTGATTGTTTTGAGCATGGGTAAAAAAGAATGAATTAAAGACATTAATGAAAATTAAGGGATTGGGTAATTCAGTGGTGGCTTAGATCTCTTATTGGATGAGCCCTCTATTCAAAAATAAAAAAAATTTGATTAAATGTTTCATCTAATGCTAAGCCTGAACTGTAGGGCATAAATTATTATGCTGTGTTAGAATTCTCTAATTTGAGGAGACTTATGTAAGAGTTTTGTTTTGTTTTTTTGGTGGGTGCTAACTTAGAACAGTGCTTTTTCCCCTTCTCAAAAATTTTTTTATGTATGGGTGTATTTGCTTATAAGAATACACACATTGATTGTCTAAAGAGACTTGTGCTGAGATGTTAATGGTGCTTATCTGCTGGGTGGAGGGATTTTGGCTATTTTTTTATGCTTTAATCTGTATTGTTTTTATTTTCCAACAATGCATATGTATCATTTTTATAATCAGAAGAAGTAAAAACTACACACTGAGTCTGAAGTAGTTCAGTGAAAAACTATTGGAAGTATAGGTTGTATGACCAAGTCATCTTTTCTCTGCAGACACGTCAAGTTCTTGAAGAGTTGACCGAGTTGCCTGTTATGGTGGAGCTAGCCAGTGATTTCCTGGACAGAAACACACCAGTTTTTCGAGATGATGTTTGCTTTTTCATTAGTCAGTCAGGTAACCTGCTAATTTTAAGGACTTCTGGAAAAGGAAAGTCACTCTGACAATTATAGCATGCATTGGCAAAACCCATATTTAAAGATAAACTAGGGGCGTGGGGGGTACAGAGGCAGAGTGCATGCTTGGCGTGCATGAAGTCCTGGGTTCGATCCCAGTACCTCCTTTAAGGGGGGAGAAAAAGAAGAACTGGTATTGCAGGTGACTTGAGAAATACAGGTTTATTTTGATTTTATGGAATTCTGAATGAGTTAATAAAATTAACACATTTTATACCCAGAAGAGCTGAGTTTTCAAAGACAGGGAAAGGAGAGCCTAAGAAGTAGGATCCTGTAATTAAAAATTTTACAAATTTATTATTTTAAATGCATGTTTTAAAACAAATGAGGGGAAAGTGGGGGAGGGATAAATTGGGAATTTGGGATTAACAGGTACCCACAACTACATATAAAATAGATAAACAACAAGGCCCTGCTGTATAGCACAGGGAACTGTACTCAGTATCTGTAATAACCTATCTGGAAGAATTGGAAAAGGTATATGTGTAACTGAATCACTTTGATGTACACCTGAAACACTGTAAATCAACTACACTTCAATTAAAAAAAACTGAATGATATAGGTGAAAGTGTAGTCAATTTTCTGTTCCAGCATCTAAGAAACAGCATGTGTTGACTGCTCTGTGTGTTACTTTTGTCTCCCTTTTTACACAGGTGAGACAGCAGATACCCTGATGGGTCTTCGATACTGTAAGGAGAGAGGAGCTCTAACCGTGGGGATCACGAACACGGTCGGCAGCTCCATATCAAGAGAGACCGACTGTGGAGTTCACATCAATGCCGGGCCTGAGATTGGCGTGGCCAGCACAAAGGTAAATTCTTGACTTAGTTCTCATGTGATTATTTAATCACTGTGTTGATGAAACAGACTAATCTGTATATTTCATTTGTTAGCACTAACAGTATTCATGTAGTTTACTAATCATTACGATTATCTTAAGACTTAAGGGTCAATAACAGATGAAACACTTGATGTCCCCTTCCACACCCTCATCCTAAGAGTGTAAAAGAGACAAATGTACCTAATGTAAGTCCACTTAGGAACGATCTCTGCTGGCTCTCCCCATTCATCACTTACATTCCTCTTGCCACATGGGGTGGGACTCGTGGGAAGTATAACGTCCTCTTCTTTGATTAAGTACAGTCGGGAGTTAAAAAACAACAGAGTAGAAACATCCCATTTAATTGTAATGATTTTGTCAGTTTCATTTACGTAGTTACACTTTCCTAATAAATGTGCCAGAAGATGCACAGCTACCTTTGAAAGTCTGTAAGGAAGAGTGTGCTTTTGGTAACAAATTTGGTGACTTGAAAGAATCAAAGTAAGTATTATATGACAGTATCTGTTTCTCCTTAGACATTCATCTGTGGAGATTTAAAAGCACCTTAAAAAAACAAGACAAAAATAAAAACACCTTCTTTTTTTTAAGGTCTAGTGAGACTGCTTTGCTCTTTGAATCTGGGGCACACATAAGGTAGTACTAGTAATAAAAATAGGAGGCTTAGAAAGCTGTGTAACTGCAAAAGATGTCTCTCTGCAAGTATATTACTCTTTATGATTTCAAAATTTCAGTTTCTTATGTATTTTTCTGCTGAAATCTAATATTTCTTGCTGATTATTTAATAAGCTGCTTAGATGTTGAAGGCTTTGAGTTTAATTAAAGATGTGTGGACGATGATGTTAACATACAAGACCGCATTTGATTTTTTTTTTTCCTTTTAAAGAACCTCGTGGAGAACTTCTTTGTGGAGAAGTTATAATTCCCATGTAAAAACTCTGAGTTAGGTTTTTGTTTTTTGGTTACTTTGATATTGCTAACACTATAATTTAGAGAAAGCTGAATCCTGAATTTTCTCCATGTGGTAATTAAAACACATAAGATACTTGTGCATGGGTTTCCATTCTGTGCCTGAATCAATAACCAGCCTCTCTCAGGAGCAGTGAGTGGATTCTTGGAACAGCGTCCAGACAGACAGTTTTGATCAGGGCTTAGAATCCCAGGTCCTTCATTCAAACACATTTGAAACAAGGGCTTCCCAGCGTGTCATGTGTGGGACATGGAATCACACCGCACTGAACGGACGCTGTTGATTTACCTGTTTTTTGGTGGGGGGAGGTAATTAGGTTAGTTTGTTTTTGTTTGTTTGTTTAAATTGAGGTACTGGGAATTGAACCCAGGACCTCGTGTATGCTAAACACGCACTCTGCCACTGAGCTACACCCTCCCCTTGTTGACTTACCTTTTCACTGAATCTTTCTTGAACTGTGAGCTGCCAGGGGAAATACAGTTTTTTTGACTTCTAATTAGTTCATTCATGAAAACGTAAATTTTCCTCAGTGTTTTATTATAATTTTCAAACATACAGCAGAGTTAAAAGAATTTTACATTAACCACCATATACCCATCACCTAGATTCTGCCAGTAACCCTTTTTTTTGCAGCTTTACTGAGGTATAATTTTCATACCATAGCACTCACAATTTGAAGTGTAGTTTTAGTCAATTTGGCTGTGTGACTGTCACCACAGTCCAACTTTAGAAGACTGAATCTCCTGAAAAAGCTCCTCCGTGCCCCTTTGCAGTCAGTCCCCACTCCTGCCCCTCAGCCTCGGCTTCAGGCAACTGCTTTGCTTTCTCTTGCTGCATTATTTCATTTTCTAGAAATTTCTTAAGGATACAGTTATATAATGCATGCTTTTGTATCTGACTTCTATTTAACATGAGGTTCTTAAATTTACGTTGTTATTTATATAAGTAGTTCCTTTTTTTTTTGCATGCCCTTTAAAAAATAATCTTTTTGTTTTGAAATAACTGTAGATTTATGGGAAGTTGCAAAGATAGTAAAGAAGTCCATATACTCTTCACTCAGTTTCCCCCAGTGGTTACATCTTGTTTAAGAAAATAAGCATCGTTTTATTATATATACTTTAATTTCTTTAAAAAAATGACTCCCTGAAAATTTTTAGTATTATGGTAGTTTAGTCTTACTTTAATTTTTCTTCTATTCTAATTTTGTTTTCTTCAGCTGCCTTAGAAATTCTGGGCTTGGAGTTATTTAAAAGTTTGGGATGTTTAGTTATAGACCATTTATGAATGGCAAATAGAAGTTTATATGTTGACGGGTGATGAAAGAAGTTCATCTTTGGCTCCGCGATGGAGCTAACACAAGAACTCTGTGATCTTGATTACAAATTCCCAACTTTGCTAGGAAAACTGTCAGGGTTAGAGAGGTATTACTAACTTTCTCATAATATCAGACCATCGGCAGTTTGATATTTCTGTGGGAATCAATGGGGGATAAATGTGCAGATTCAGCAATTCTGTATGTTATTGCAGGTGTTTAGAATTTCACCACAGTACTGACTTTTGTTGATTTTTAAGAATAAACCAATATAATTTTATTTTTGGCTGAATAAAAAGTAAAAACCAGGTTGAAAAGTTCAGAGTCAACATTTTCCTGGTAAATTCTTTCAAACCTCAGTAATTCTCAGTGTGAGATGTAGCTTATTTTTCTCATAATTGGTTTCCTGATATGTGTTGATGAAATGAAGAACATGAAATTGTAAATTAAGCTTAATGCAATAGAAAAATGTGTGTATTAAAGTTACTCTGTTTAATATTTGTACTTAAAAACCCGCATTGAGGTGTTCTAGGTCCAAACAAAGAAACATATTCTGTAGAATAACATTTTTAGTTATGGGTTGGAGGAACGGGAATGTTCATTATC